GGAGAAATAAGAAAAGCCAGAACTAATTTAGAATTACAGCTTTGAAAGAGGAGTTTAGGTAAATATGCCAGAGTGGACATACACACCAATTTGTTCCCTCTTAGAAACATACTAAAATAATACTAAAACACTTTTTTAAAAAAAGGTATCAACCTGCAAGGACAACAACAAAACTCTGGAAAAATCGAAAACAGATGTACAAATAGTAATAGAATGAGCTAATGTAAAAAAGGCAGTCTTCTAACCCAAGGAAGAAAAGTGACTTTTAAGTTTACTCTGCAAAACCTCCAAATGGCTTGGGACAAAGCTGCACCTCTGTAAGGTAAGAGTTAAGATAGAGCCAAACACTAGAAAACAGTATGAAAGTTTACATTAGTAAATTGTATGCCCAAACTCTCTTCGTCGCTCTATGAAGTCAGAAGACTGCTTTATCCCCATCTGGGAAGAAAACTAGAACTTTTGTTTTATTTTTTCTAGAAGGGAACGACAGAGTGTCTCTGTCTGAATTGAGGGACTCCCAGCATAGATGAGGGTGGCACCTGACTCCAGGCAGGAACATTCAGTTCTCAGAACACTGGTGGTCTAGATTATATCCAAGTGGAGATGGGAATATCCTGATGAAGGGAATATGACTAGTCCAAGTTAACAAAGATACTAAAGATGATAAAATAAATGGATTGGATGGATTTGGAGTTTCCAATCAGTTTTTCAGTATCTGACTCTGAGATTTAAGTTGTTTAATCAAGCCTTACCAGACACTGAGAAAAGATATGAAAGACAGAGACCAAAACAAGCAAACAAGAGGCTAACAGGAACACAAAATTTGGAAATATTTAGTCAGATAGGATGTAAAATCATTGAGGGACATGACAGACTCTAGTGAATTTGACTGGAGCACAGTGAATAAATGCTAGCAGTAAGAGATGGCTAAAAAGGTATGTTAAGGGCCAAACCATAAAGGACTTTGTACATCACACTGAGAGTCTGTCTTCCATAGGATCAGGCAATGGGGAGCTAATGAAGGATATAAAGGAAAATAACATGATCATGTTTACGTTCTGACAAGATTATTCAGGTGGCTATGAGGTAGATGGATTGGTGGGGGAGAAATTATTAACAGAGGGACAAAGAGGTTGCTGAAGCAATTAAGACAAAGAAAAAATATAGACAAAGAAAAATAAGACAAAGAAAAATATAGGTTTGAATTAAGACTGGAGTAGATGAGAGGAACATAAAAGATACTGAGAAGATATAATTGAAAGGACTTAGGAACCAACTCAATATGTGAAATGGGAAAATGGGGGAGAGGGAAGAATAAAAAAGTGCTCCCCAAATTTTCACTTGAGCAAGTGAAGAGATGGCAATGGCATTCATGGAAATGAGAAATAATATAAAAGGAGATACAAGTCTAGTGGAAAACAATGAATTCTATTTTAGATATGTCAAGTTTGAGGTACTGGAGACAAAGTTATTCAGCAATCAGAATGAAATATCGGTTAGTGTTAAGGCAGGCGGGCTAGGCTAGATCTAGAGACATAAATTTGGTTATCAATCAGATCACCCAAGGACAGTATAAAGATTAGCAATTTTCAGTGTGTGTGTGTTGTGTACAGGAAAGCAGTGGCTGAGATTTAATGCCTTTGTTTATTAGAGAGCTACTGTTACCTATCCATTGTGGTGCCCCACAGACGCATTTAGGGAAAATTTTAGGAGGGTAGAATAACAGACTTAGGAGACAAAAAGGTGGGGCTCAGAATGCTAAAGACCACTAACATTTAGAAGGCAAATGAAAGAATAAAATATTTCAAAGGAGATCAAAGAAGGGGGAAGAAAAAGCAGGGCAAAGTGGTAACAAAGGAGTCAAGTGAGACAAGTAAATATTTAGTTATCTACCTCTTATATGCTATACCCTGTAGAAATAAGAAACACTCAAGCATGGTTTTTGCTATCAAGTAGTCTGCAATCTCACTGTTGAAGAAAGACTAACAGGAGGAAACAGGAGAAGAAAAAACAATACGGCAGTAAGTCAGCACTACATCCACTAAAACTGCTTTGCATAATTCTTAATTTTTTATCAATCATTCTTTATACTCATATTTTTTAAATTTTTATTTAAATTCCTGTTGGTTAACATACAGTATTAGTTTCACATGTAGAATTTAGTGATTAAACAATTCCATATATTACTCAGTGCTCATCACAATAAATGATCACCCCATCAACTATTTCACTCGTCACCCCCCCTTTTTCTTTCTGGTAACCATCAGTTATCAGTTAAGAGCGCTAGAACTGATACACAAATTCAGTAAAGTCAGGATACTAAATCAATGT